TACTAATCCCCTCTCCCCTTCCAATCAAAATTAAAGACTGAAAATAAATATGATAAGAAATATGTCCCATGAATATATGAATAACCAATACCAAAAATTAAATTTCAATTCAAAAAAAATTTTTTTTGTTTCACATATAGACTTTAGAATTGCCGTTTTCCATCTTTGCCACACTAAAATTCAATATATGACAGATTGTTACTTATTGTAATATTAGGATATAAATATTTAGGTAGTGAGTATTATTAATGGGAGAAAAAAAATATTTTATGTATTGATATTTTTTTTTTATTTCCGTGTAAAAAATCGGATTCAAACTTGTTAAATGAAAATCTAAATTTTAACGCTTATCGAGTATTATTTCAATGACGTACAAAAACTTACAGTGTGAGATAGTAACTTTTATACATCGTGAAACTCTCGTAATATTTCTTACTCAAAATGTAAAACTTACTGCGTAGCGCCAAGCTGTAACTTTTAGATTTTCGTTAACGAAGCGCTGGGTTACCATTTGAAAATCTAAAAAATGCTCAACGAATAGTCAATTATTCCTGTTTTCTTTTTTCCGTGCAAAGAAACGATTGTTATAAGGAAATTTTTGTGAAATGTTATTGAAGTTAATCGATATGTCCTAAATTTCATGTCTCAAGAAGTCCTAGTTAATAAACGAAATAGTATATTACATACCTAGGCCAGTAAAATAAGAAAAGTCTCAGACCACATGTAATTGTTGGCCGAGGCGAAGCCGAGGTTGACAAACATGTGGTCTGAGGCTTTACTTTTTACTGGCCAAGGTGTGTATACTATTTTTCTGCTCGACGTAGCCGGAATGTGGCAACTTTGTTTAGCGCAGCGGCCAGAAAGTTGCCACTTTCCGGCCGGAGGGCAGAAAACATTTTTTTACATTCGACTCACTACTCTGGCACAGCCTATATATAAAGTCAATTATCACAAAATTCGTTTTTAGTTGACATCTAATCATTGAGAAAAAAATATATTTAAATTGGTTGACCTTGGAGGCCAACCCTCTAATTTCCTGTTTCTCTTGAGATTCTTTCAAATTTTATATCTGAATCGTTGATTTGAGAAACTCCATAAGTCATATGAAAATCCCATATGACTTATGGGGTTTCTCAAGTAAACGATTCATCTGTAGAAACTATATTTGAAGAATATGCATTTTTTGACAATTAATACCCCCGTACTCTTATGTGGGGGAGGAATTTCGTAAGATTCGAGATGATTTCTACACTGTTAAAAATTTCTATTGTAATTTTACAAGAAATGTATTGGAAGCTAATAGGCAAAACATTTATTTAAAATTACAATCGGGTATAGTAAAATTACAAAACATATAGCTCAGTGAGGTTACTAATTTTACAAAACGGTTTTGTAATTTTACAAATATTTTTAGATTAGCTAAGTTTGTAAAATTACAATACTTTCCTTGAATTTTACTTGAATTGAAATAATAAAAAAGAAAGATTTGATTTAATATCTGTTGTCATTTTATTGTTATGAAGCGCTGACTAGATTTGGTATTTCACGTAGACTTAATTTGTTCAACTCAGATGATTTAAAGTGAAAATAATATATACCCTAACTAAGAACCGAACCCGAGCCGCGCGCTTGCCAGACCGATACCTAACGCCCTACGCCGTACGACCGATAGGTTATTCAACATCTTAGTATTCTTATAAGCTAATCCTATGTGGTGATTGAGCATTACGGCTTATTATTTATAATTTACATTAATTGTGTTATTTTATGCTGTTTATTGATAGAAAAGTCTAACATATACTCATTCAAATATATTGATTACGAAATGATCGTTTGAGCATAATATTAAAATTTATAAAAGATAAATTATGCCTCGAATTTATTATTACAAATAAACGCAACCATAGACTAAAAATTAGTAAAAATAAATATGAAGGACATTGTTGTTTTTTTATACATCAGTCTCATTTTTGTAAAATTGAAAAGTATTATTTTTAAAATTAGAAAACAGTGAAGTAGAATTACAATTCGTGTAATATAAATAAAATTTTCTGGTAACATTACGTTGCACTGTGTAATTTTACAATGAAAATTGTAAAAATAAAAAAAAGCTTTTTAAATTTTTTATGTGATTATTGTAATATAAATTACAATATTTTTTAATGATTTTACATACAATTATGCCGAATCAAATTACAAATAATGTTTGCAAAATTAAAAAGCTTTTTCTTGAAAATTGACGAACAGTTCTGTAATATTACAATGCGTGTTAGGTTTATACAAGAAGATTGTAAAATTACAATACATCTTAGTAGATTTCCTAACAGGTGTTGGAAAATTACATGAACTGTATTTTATTTCGCATTGCTATACACTGATTTGTAATTTTACATATCATTTGTTTTGTAATATGATTATAATTTTACAAAAATTTTTAACAGTGTACTTTATGAATAAAAGATTCCTACTAAACTTCGAGTCCATAGAAACTGATGTTTGGAAATGATAGGTTTTCATTGCTAATGCCCCCGCTATCCCTTTTGAGGCTAGAATGTGATAAAATCCATTCTTAGCTGAACTTAACATCATACACGAAGATTTCTACCAAATTTGGAGTCTGTAGAAATTACAGTTTGGAAACAGAAATCTAACATTTCAACATCCACCCCCGCAATCCTTAATGAGGGTGGGTTGTAGTAAAATCCGCTCTTAGATCACTTCCGCAACACATATGGAAGACTTAACTAAATTTGCCTTCTGTAGGATCAATCTATAATTTGAAAATTGCAAATTTTTATTGTTAATATTCACCCCTGCAACCCCCTGTGGAGTGAGCTATCGTAAAATTCGTTTATAGATTATTTCTATATTTCTTACAGGAGATTTCTACCAAATTCGAGGTCTATAGGAGCTATAGTTTGAAAACGGGAATTATTCATTGTTAACGCTCCCGCAATCCCCTATGGGGGAGGATTTTTTTGAAATTTTTTTACATATAAACATTCTCCTGACAATGTTGAAGACAACAAAAATAAATTAGCCCAATCGGTTCAGCCGTTCTCGAGTGATGCATGGACATACATGTGGCATTCTATTTTTATTTATATAGATAACAGGAGAAAGACAAAAATTTTACAAATTTTTAACACCCCCACAATCTCCTCTGAGGCTAAAATTTTTCGAAATCTGATAGTAGAAAACCTTTATTCAACAAATACGAAATTTTTATTTAATTATAAGTCTGTGGGAGTTCTAGTTTAAAATTTTCATTTTTTTTCATTAGCGCCCCTGTAACTGATTCTGGGATTCAAACTTCATTTAATATATTTTTGTTTGTTCTCAACATAGCCCAAAAAAATTCTCTTTAAATTTCATGTCTAAAAAAGTTAAAATTCAAAATTTAGTTTTTTATGATTTTTCTAATCATAAACGCGCCCGCTATACACTTCGGAGATTCAACATGGATAAAAAAGTTAGCCTATCCATTAAGTCAATGTATCCTCTACATGGATGCGAAATTTCAACTCAATCGGATGTATAGTTTAATAGTTTTAACGGAACAACCGTAAAAAACTCTATAGATTTATATATTAGTATAGAAGTATAGATATAGAGTATAGATATAGATATAGATATAGATAAGCAAAATCATTTTTTGTCAGCTAAATATTATCAATTAACTAATTGTGCTTGATTTCAGTTGTACTGAATTATAGCAAAAACTTTACGAAAATGTTAAATTAAATCTTTCTGAAATGAATGAGATTTGAATGTAGCTCATAATACTAATCTATTAAAATTTTATTTGCTATAGCCTTGGCATTAAAGCATCTAATTCAGAAGAAAAGTCATCAATTTATCGAATTCACAATTATAATTGTAATGATATTATATATTCTCGACCAGCTCCACTGTTACGCTCCAAAACATTACCGGCAATAATCGTACCAAATATTGATGTTTTTCCAGTGCAAGTCAATACTTATCAGATTACTAAAAATAAAGGTTTGTTTCTAATTATATTATTACAATTACTTTTTTCATTGAGAAAATAAACTTATATGATGATTATTTTCAGTCGAGATGATGAATGTTAGAAAACAACATCAATTTTCTATCACAAAAGACAATTCTGAAAGTATTATATCAACTGTAAATAACAATAAATTTTACCAACCAAGAGTACTCCTTACTAATAATATATTTGGTAAGGTAACACAAGAAAGGTTAAATAATATTTATATTTCTCTATATTTTTAACAAAAATAGTAATTGTTTGTTTAGTTTTCAAAGAACGACGTGAATCTACAAAAATAATGCCCCATCCACAAAGTACTTCTCAATACCAAAGTATTATAACTAGTTGTTACAAACAAAATAACGACTATAGTTTAAAACCGCGGAGTTCAACAAATGATCTATTTAATCAACAAATAAACTACAGTATACAGTATGCTATTCATTTTCAACATTATAAATTATGTTTGAATTTCAGGAAATTATATAAGTATTAATTTTAACTATTGTTATTATTTTTTGATTCAAGAAATAATTATATACTTAGGAGTATTTCAATGGACAATATATTTCAATCTACAAGTTTGAATTGTTGCATGTCTAATCACATTGATAATCTCACCCCAAATATTCCACTATTGGACTACAAATATAAAAATAAATTTGATGTCAATACTGAATCTCATTCACATGGTGTCTTTAGCCATCACACTAGTCAAAATGTGAATTCTCATTCAATGTTTTTAGCCAGAAAGTGTTTAAAAATTAATGAGAAACAGAGTTATTTTTATCATGAAATCGGGAGACATAGTAAAGGACAAAGTAATCCAGATAGTGAGTAAAACATAATTGACATTATCCGTTATCATATTTTATGAGAAAGTTGAGTGATAGTTATAGTTTAGATACTAATTATATAGATATTATCTTCACCTTTCATTAAAAATTAAATAGATTAGGACGTACTAATCAAATCAATATCTCGATTATTTAATTTTTATTTATAAATCAATTGGAGTTGTTAAAAAAAAATTTAATCCTATCTGTGAAAAAATTTTCTCATATGACCTAAATCCCCACAACAACTGGCCTGATATGTCCTTTTATAATTTTTTATGTCTTGGCATAACTTGATATCGTCTGACATGCCCAAACATAATTTTTTAATCAAAAGTAGAATCGAAAATCTCCGAAAGAAAGCGCATGATTGCTGAATTATCTTATAAGTTAAGTTCTTAAATAAAAATCACGTTTTTTATTCTCCTAAGGAGCTGTACAGAAATTAGTTTTCAGTTTAATCAACTTCTAAACCAATTTTCGTTTCATACGAAATTTTTTTATTCTCGTATACATAGCCTGCACAGAAAGAAAAATTTCTTGACTGGAGAACAAAATTCTTGGCTCAAGAAAATTTTCGGGTGCCTGAAGAAAGATCGAAGTTGTGTTGGCCAAAGTAAAAATTTTTCTTGAAATTCTATTCCTGGTGGAAGTAATTTTTTCTTAATTTAAATTATCATAAATACTTGATACAATAAATTTTTATATTTGATCAAGATTTTTAGATACTTTAGGGAAGCAGCGCCATCTACTTCAGCTGAGAAAAAAATTTTCTCACTTTGAGAAAATTTTTCTCTTGAATATTTGATACCTACTTGATATTATTTTAGCGTGCAATTATACATATTAAATGAAAAAAATGATTCAATATTATATGATCTTTCCATTTAACATGTTAATCAATAAAAATATTAATGAAAATTTACTTTTATCGAGATATTTTATTTTTTGGAGCAAGAGAGAAATTTCCTCAAGACAAGAAAATTTAGTTCTATCAAGAACTAAATTTTTTGGAGCAAGAAGCTGAATTTTCTCAAAACAAGATTTTCTTGACTTAAATAAATTTTCTTGGATCAAGATACGTACTTCTTAAAGCAAGAGAATTCATTTTGTTAGAATAAGTGAAATTTCTTGTGCCAAAAAAAAAATTTTTTTTTCGCTCAAGAAAATAATTAGGAAGAAAAATATTTTTTTGGCTCAAGTGAACCTTTTTTCCAGTATGCCATGATCATATAAGGCTATATGTGAACATTTTTCACGGGAACTTTTTAGAAAAATTAATTTTCATTCTCATAATTTGTCTGATATAAAAAATGGCCATATCAGGCCACATCAGAATCTTTTTTACGGGTACCTACTGAGATTCTACTTCGTAAACTGAAGGAAATAAAATTTCTTGACAATTTCAAGCAATTAGTTGAATTAAATACTACTTAAAGTATATGTCATATATGAGAATATCGCATTGTAATATTACTTATTATCTTCATGGAAAAAAGTACTTAAAGTTACACTTTTCTTCACAAGTACAAACTTTATAGTACAGAAAATAGAGAGAATTTAATACAATTATCGGTGTACGTATACTTATATACATTCAATGATACACGGGAAAAAATTTCTGGGAAAATTTACGATACAACTATTGTAAAGCTGGACTATACCTTTATTACTATTAATTATCAAATATTTTAGAAGAAAAAATACTATTTATTAATGAAAAAATACGATATTACTATTGTAAAAAGTAAGAGATGAAAATTTCCAGTGCTGCCTCTGTATCTTTCCAAAAGAACTATAGCAAATTTTACAATAGTTGAATTGGAATATCTCTCAATTAGTGTGAGTGATGGCCGTGCACAGCGCTAGACTCTGAGTTTTTATATAAATGTTAAAGGACATGAGAGTCTTAGTTTACCGCGGATAGCCTAAAGGGAGAGTCTCTGGCTACCAACACAGAGTTCTAGGTTCGATTCCCAGATAGCACGAAAAGATTTGTTTCTTTTTTCGATTACTGTACAGGTACCAATTAGCCCAACCTTCTATCTCTCTTCCTCCCTAATATTTCTTTTAAAAAAAACCAACTGTGAATTTTTACAACAGTTGAATTGTAAAATTCACTAACACATATTGTATAATTTGCTCTATAGTATACGACTTTTTAAAACTCTTGCTAGTCTTATTTGTTGGATAAAATTGACAATAGTAGATCGTAAAAATTATTAAATGAGAAGTATAGTCCACCGTTAATATTTTATTTAGTAAAAATTACAATAGTAAAAGAGTAAAAACTCCTTCAATTTTCTTCCCGTGTAAAATTCATCCTAAATATTCGTAAGTTTTTATTGAGATTCTGAAGCAGGATCGAAAGTTTTACAGGTGTGCTAATTTCTACACAATTTCTATCTACAAATCAATTTCAAATTTTGATTGATCTCAAAACTAATTCATATTTATGTCAAAATATGAGTTTCAATCTTAAATTCATTTTGAATCAGAATTTTTTTTGCACGGGTCAGAATGCTTGTTTTTTTTTTGCACATCACTATAGTGACCACTAGCGGTTTTGTTTTATTGGGATTCAGGAAAATTTTTTTAAGTTGAATAATCTTGTAGGCCTGAAGATTTTACTTTTTAAATTATATATCTCACAAGCGTACCAAATGATTTTGAAGCAATTGGCAGCCTCTGACTCAGTTTTCTTAGCATTCATAGTTAAATTATGTCATCAAAAATAATTCGAGAATCAATTCGACGTTATTTGAAAAAGACACTTTTTTAAAATAATTAGTGTACGATTTCTCTTCAACACATCACCTGATTTTGATGCGGTTTGCAGCAGTCAACGTTGTTTTTTAAATTAAAGAACTGTTTAGATTTTGGAATTGATTGTTACATCTGTTTAGAAGCTGTTAAAAGAAAAAAGTTATTTTCAATTTATGAGGAAGTCTAAGTTTCGCTGAACCTGATAGTAATTTTAACTAGACTCAAGAGTAAAAATCTTGAACCAAGAACACCAATTGGGAGAAAATGAATTTCTTGAGCCAAGAGTAAAAATTCTTGGGTCAAGATATATTTTCTTAACTCAAGAGGATCTATCATGACTCAAGAATTTTTCCTTTTGGCTCAAGAAATTCATTTTCTTCCAATTGGTGTTCTTAGTTTAAGATTTTTGCTCTTGAGTCAAGTTAAAATTTCTATCAGTGCACACACACACACACACACCTTGATAGAAATCTTCGTAGGAGTATTAAGAGCTACTTCTTAGGACCTTAAAAATGTGGAGATCAGATTAGAACTTGATTTTCGAAAATTGGCTTGGAACCAATGACTTCCCGATTTTTTTTTTTTTTAAATCATTTATTTGTAAAGTGAGAACTTAAAAATTTAGAAAAAAAAATTTTAGATGTGAAAAATAAATTATTATGATGCACAATGACGATAAAAATTACTTCACAGTAAAAAATTTTTCGTCAATTTGTAAAGTGTAAAAATTTTTGTGTAGCAAATTACACTCTAGTGTGTATAATTTTACATTCTCATGTGTTGATTTAACATACTAGAATGTAGAATTGACATTAGTTTGTGTAAAAACAGTCAGTAACACAAATATTTGTGTTAAATTTGACGAAAATTTTTTTACTGCATTTAAAAAAAATTTTTTTTCCTCTGAAATTGTAGGAAATGACGTTAAAATATATTTTAGAAAGCTAAAAAAGCTTTTTGGAAAAAAAAATTTTTTTTACGAAATTTTGGGGGTACCCCATATTGCCACCCCTACCCCATTTTGCCCCCCCCCCTCTCCTATATAAATGTTAAAAGACATGGATCTTAGCTTACCGCGGGTAGCCTAAAGGGAGAGTCTCTGGCTACCAACACAGAGTTCTGGGTTCGATTCCCAGGTAGCACGAAAATATTGCACGCCTCATAGCGCGAAGCGCGTGAGGTTGCATGTGCTTTATACTCGACTCGTTAAGATCAAGCAATTTTGTGATCTTTAAATGCCTCTATCACAACCATATTACACTTATACAATGATATAAGTAGATGTACACCGAGAAAACACTTAAATTAAACCATCTGTTATTTTCTAAAATCATTTCATGTTGCTATTTTGAAAAAAAAAAAACGTTTTGAAAAAAATTTTACGTGGACGTCCGGATGTCACCCCATTTTGGATGTACCAACGATTACTCCCGAACAAATTGATATTTCAAGACCGGATCTTTTTTATTAGTTTAAGAATTCGATGAACTGGGTCCGTATTGCATATCAGTGGCCTAGCTTACGTATTTTTTTTTAAATTGAATTTTTATTAAAATTTACTACGATACAACCGTACAAAGCTAAATGAACTTATCTTATTTATCACGTGAAAACTATGGCGCCACTTGATCAAGCTAGATTTTTTTAGACTGCGTGCGCGCATGACAAGAAGAAAGGGCGCCGATATTTAAAAAAAAAATAAAAAATACTCTGTAAGAAATTACTTAATTATAATTTTTTTTTTTTAATCAATTACACAATTAATTTTTTTCTTAAAAAATGAATGAGCGTTATGAGGCGTGCACTTTTGGATTTTCCAAACTTTTTGTTTCTTTTTTCGTATTACTGTACAGGTACCAATTAGTGCAACTTTCTATCTCTCTATTAAAATTTTCTACGATACAACCGTACAAAGCTAAATGAACTTATCTTATTTATCACGTGAAAACTATGGCGCCACTTGATCAAGCTAGATTTTTTTAGACTGCGTGCGCGCAATGACAAGAAAAAAGGGCGCCTATATTTAAAAAAAAAATAAAAAATACTCTGTAAGAAATTACTTAATTATAATTTTTTTTTTTAATCAATTACACAATTAATTTTTTTCTTAAAAAATGAATGAGCGTTATGAGGCGTGCACTTTTGGATTTTCCAAACTTTTTGTTTCTTTTTTCGATTACTGTACAGGTACCAATTAGTGCAACTTTCTATCTCTCTCCCTCCCTAATATTTCTTTTAA